AGTTCCAGGGTTTTTTTTTTTTTTTTTTTTTTTTAAGGACACGGCTACATTCTATAGGCTCCACTACCGAAGAACGCCAGATCAACAATAAAGCCACGAGAGACTGGAAGGCTGTGAGATTAAAAAGCAGGGAAAACAGTTTGACGAAAGCTCAGAGAGCAACTTCACCACAACCAAGTCACTTTATCTAATCAAATCCACAGACGATATCATCGAACCCTTCAGAGACAAAAGGGGAAAGGTTATGCGTGCGTTCTCCAATGAATTTCACACGAGGACGTTTTAGGACCATTCCCAGGCCAGCAGTAAGCAGATCTAAGAACATCCTCGGTGACGGAGGTGGTGGGGATGTTGACGCAAGACGGAATTCATCATGTCCAAGATTCGAGGGAAACGGTATTCCTTTTGAAAACGTTAATGCAAGATGTTTTGTGTATTTACAGAGCTCCCGTTTGCGTTCCATAGTCAATTCGAAGGGGGAAAAATAATAAATGTACAACTTGTGATCCTATTCAACGTTTCATCCCGCCCCTTCTGCGGACAGCTGTCAATCCCAGCACTCACGCCTCAATCCCACATTGTCACCCAGATATAAACGACTCTCCATACAGACAAACCCACACTTCAGCACAGTTGCACTTACTTACTAGACTGTAAAAAGTTTTCAATCGCACTCAATATTTGTCTTAAATCGTAATCATTATAAACATTGTTGAAAATGTTATGAAAAAAAATGTACACTTTTTTTCCTTATGTTTCTATACAAGGCAGGCAAAAGCAGAGCACTATGTATATCAGCTCATCCTAACCCTTCCTCCAACAGACATGCTCTCCAACACACTCACGCTCACACACACACACGGACGCCCACTTCCCATCGTCCCTAAGAGTGGTTCAGGTGTGCCGCCCACTCTAGAGTCCACACTGGTGCCGTCCCACACCCCAAACCCATCCCCAACCATTCCCCAGCTGTACCCTCTTCTCTCTCTTTGGACTTTGAGCCCCAAATGACAAGAGAATGGTCAAGGAGAATGACCTCTAGAAACTGGCTTTAAAATATTTATATATTTATATGTATATATATATTTATATTTATATATATAAAAAGGGGTGGGGGGAG